GATGTCAGAGAATTAAAAGTAGATCTTATCTCTGGATGAAACGGTATGACCTCCAGAATTAATTTGAAAATATCCCTAAGGGGTGGTGGTGAGGACAGTGAGTTCATGTTCCCATAAACCCAGATCTACCATGCATTGGTGGCTGCTGAAGGTAGGCGATGGGTATCTATTTTATCTATTTAGTAAGCATCATACACTAGCATTTTCAGAAGAGGCAGTTAGAAGAAGTTACGCTGTCTTTGTCCTATGACTAAAAATTCATACCTTTTTAAGCTCAGGTAAGATCTTCCAGATTTTAAGAATGATAAAATTAGCTATAAAATGAGCAAGCACACATTGACCAAGACCTGAATGTTTGCACACGCGCTGCACAGCATGCGGTGCCGCAGGCCCACTGGCGCCATGCGAAGACCAGAAAGTTACCTCTCTGAATCCTGCCAAGATTTTTCCTGCTCATAATCCTTTACTGATTTTTCTGACTTGTCTTCTTTATCCTCCCGCTTTCTCCCTCGTTTCTTTCGTTCTTCTTCTTCTGGGGGCTTGCTTCTGCACGCCATTAGGCATTCCAAGACTCTCTGATGTTTCTCTGAGTTGTTGATATGGGCTCTGACAAGGGTTTCTAATTCATTCCACATAATACGGTACTGTTCATCTCTGCCGCAAAGATGTGAAATAACACTCTCAGAAATACTCTTTAAAATAAATATTTAAACATTAAATAATACTGAAGCGCTGCTTGCCAGTTACCACTGGCAAAGTGCAAGGAATAATGAATCTGTTTCCTTTATGTGACAGTTATGGTGGAATTCTAAGTTAAAATGTATCCATGTCTGCCATTCTTTGTCTCCATCATATGCACATATGCATACATGTTAACCCTCAAATATAACTTACATGTGGAATAAGTTACCCCCCCCCCTTTTTTCTTTTTTAGAGACAGGGTCTCACTATACAGTTAGGTTGGCCTTGAACTCACTATGTAGCCCAGACTGGACTTAAATTCATGGCAATCCTCCTGCCTCAGCCTCCCTAGTGCTGGGATTACAGCCGTGCACCACCACGCCCAGCTTGGAAGAGATTACTTTAACAAACAGCATGTATCAAGTAAATATTATGTATAAAGTAAGTAAGAAAAAGTCTACCTTTTAGGGCCCTTTCCTCTTGTACCAACTGTGGAAATAGGTAGAGGATCATTTTTTCTTTCCATATCAACTAAGTTGTATATTGTTTTTTGACAGTTTAACACATCTTCTTCTGTCAAAGATTCTTTCACAATAACACTGGCTAATGGAACTACCTGTTAGATTTTTTTTTAAAAGAAAAAAGAAAATCTGTCTTGAAAAACAAATATCAAAGCATCTAAGCAGAAGTTGATTTTAATACTGACTTTAAAGATCACCATGGTGAGGGAATCTATAACTACCACCTCCATTCTTAATTACCAAATCCGTAAGTACAGCAAAGACACATTTCATTCTGTGCTTGACGACTGGTATCAATTACAAACTTTCTAATTTGTTTCTATAAAAAAATATATATATATAAAACTGATCAAGAAGAGACTCTGTACTCACCGCTTGCATGTTGAAAATGGTGGTTTGTGAAATAATCATTGGCCAGTAACGGGTGTGTTTTTCTAACTGATCTTTTGCTCGTTCCAAAGGGATCTCAAGACTTCCATCGATTTTATATCTGGGGTCTAGAAAAGGAGTTAATCTGTTTTCCCTCATAAATTCACCAAAATCCTAATGATAACCAAATAAGATAAAATTAGAAACTCTTTCTAGCGTGTCCATATGGAATACATGTAATAGTCTGTGCCCTCATTGCATCGCTCCTGTGATTTGCAACCAAGCACTTTCTCTGAACCAGCCCCAAGTAATCATTACTGCTTTCCCTTTCTTGAACTTGAACCCTATCAGCTTTCATAGAACGCAAATGAAGAAAGCCACAAATGTACTTTTTCCATTTAAAAATCCTGAGAACATTCATTTCATTTTACTGCTCTAGTTTACCTTTTTCCTACCAAATAGAAGAATGAGTAAATCACATCAAAAGCCCAATTTGGTTAGTTACCCGACAGCACATCAAACTGTGAACACGAGTCATCTTTGAATGGTGAAATTATGAGTATTTAAAAGTTTTTGCTTTTTAGATGTCTGTATGTTGTACATTTTCCACAATGAATACCAATTAGCTTTCTCCTCATTAAAAAAAAGAAATGCCTAGTCAAAAACAATTACTTGAAAAGTATACTATTCCATGATTTACAAAGTATACTTAAATAGACAAATCACATTTGTGGCACAAAGTATATTTATACAAATAAATCAGTGAATTTTTACAACCACCTCAAAAAGAAGACAGTCACAAAATACCAAATATGAAAAGGGGAAGGAGCACGAAAAATTAAAATCTGAACAATAGGATTTTCACCAAAACCACACACTATTTTTGATACAGTCCTTCCAAAAACACAAAAGACATTTTATTTTAAAGCAGCAGTAATCATTTTAAGTATTTCTGTCTTACATTTAAATTACTAGAAATTAAATTCCAGTTAAAATATTAGCTCTTGATCCAGATGTGGTGGTGCACACCTATAATCCCAGCACTCAGGAGGCTGAGGCAGGAGGATCGCTCCAAGTTTAAGGCCAGCCCGGGCTACATATTTAGTTTAAGGCCAACCTAAACTACATGGCAAGACTCTGTCTCAAAAAAATAAAAACAAACAAAGCCTCAGATAAATTTTCCTTCTTCCCTTAAAATTCCAGTGTGTCAGTATACTTCTTGGTACACAATGAACATGTAACATGGAAGACAAGTGATACACAGGTCCTTTAAGCAACTACAA